TCTGTTCGACAGAGCCCAGGGCAAAGACCAGCAAATACACAAAATTTCGCAGACGACCGGCGAAAGCGTTTCACTATCAACCTCAAGGAAGCCCGGGAGATCCTTAATGTTCGCATACTGCAGCAGAACAACCAGGAACGCCGAGACCTGCAGTTCGAGGTGGGAGTCTTGGTTCTCAGGCGTACTCACCCTCCGAGTGACGTGGCAAAAGGCTTAACGGCCTCACTGGCCAACAGGTGGGATGGTCTATTTGGTGTAGGTAAAAAGCTTTCTCTGCTTGCATACGCACTAATTAACTAATACGGTGGTGAGTCCACAGTACCAACTCATGTCACAGACCTTAAACAATTCCACATCCCGGAAGATCGTTTTGTCGCAGGATCGGACCGATGCCGACGACGGCCCGGTCTCGGACCCCCTCGCCACCACAGGTGGTACAACATTCTCGTCGGTCACGGCTGAGAGAGGAGTTATAAAGCGGTGGACAAAGATTCGTCTTATTTGTTTGTCTTTTCTTCGAGTTTTGAGCGTTGTACCTCGTATATTATCACACAGGTCTGATTCCTTTTGTAAGGGGGGGGGGGAGGAGGGGAGGGGAGGGGGGATATTGCGCGATTGTGTGCCCACCCCAAATCTTTTATTTTTTGGGGCATTATAGACCCAGTGGTTGCATATTAAAGCAACCAACGGCAATGTCTTGTTCTGATCCACGAAGATGGATATCGGTCAATGCCACCACGAATCCCGGTCACCTGGACGCCAGGGTCCTAGGACACGTGGTAGTCCCTGTCACCAAGGGCGGCAATCGGCCAGACCTACCCAAGGAACAGCGGCCAGTGGGCAAGACGTTCCAGAGGTACCGGAAACTGCCTCCGCCGGCGATGCCGGGAACGGCCACAATGGATGACCGCGACCTGGAGCGCGCCATAGCGCTCATACAGTGCCGCCGTCGACACATTTTGCAACGACCCCCTTCCGACGACGACCGCGGAGATAGCCATTGACATGCCGGACGCTTAAGGGGGAAAGGGGGGGGGGGTGAGTGTGGGAGCGAGGGTCTGTACCACGCCCAGGGGCCGCAACCGACTGCCCAAAAAGGACAGTCCTAAGCGGCAACAGCGCATGAGGAATAGACGCGAGAGCCTATAAAATGTAGGCACGCCAACAGAACAGGGAGAGTCGGACCGAGGTCACGGAGGCGTGTATGTCGAACGCTACGGGAATAAATGTAGTTTCGTGTTTTGGAAACCCCGGCTTCGTGCTGTTCCTCCCGGATGGGCATGCAGCAATGCAACCATACCACAAATTGTTGGATCAAAATCATCCACCTGACAACACTCGAGCGCAGCACATGTATTGGACAGGAGAACTACGTGCGCACTCTACTTCGGCTCGTAAGAATCAATGCCTCGGCGGACACTCGGCTAGTGGCTTGTGTCCAGCCACTGCGGTGATGAGAATATCTGAACTCTAAAAATGGCTGAACCTCAGCACGCGCTTTCTGCGTCGGCAACCTCAACGCGTGGGTATGATTAACGTTGACTGCACAGGATAGGCACCAGGCCACGTGGCCGTTTGTTCTGCTTCCGAATTGAGGGGATGAACGATGCTCATATTTCTGGAGACTTTTAGCGACTGCTGTTGAAAAAAAAGAGAAAAACTAAGGCAAGTTTGTTTTGTTAATAATGTTAGGGGATGAAAATATTTAGTGAAAGTAGAAACATTGTTTCATGGCTCCTTTGAGCCTTGGTCCACTCACTTCCGACTGCTTTCAACCGAGTTCCGCAAATCGTCTTAAGATCTCTTGCGACGGGAGAACACAGTTGCGCTATCTATTGCGTAGGTGTGGAACACTTGTCATTTCCCTGTATTTATTTTTTAAGTGCAAGCTGAAGGGGCTTTGTATTTGAGGAAACACACTTAAGTCGTCTGAATCTGTCCTCCTAAATCTCGAATATCGAAATCATTTCTTTTCTTTTTTTTTTTCAACTTGGTGCATGGTGGCTGCAGAAAATCGTTTTCAAGGCACTGCTGAAGGCCCTCATTTCCGAAGCGTGACGTCACAAGAGGAGTTATCAAGATCTCCACTCTCGCGCATTTTTAGGGCCTGTGAAAACTATGCACACGCATTCTTACTATTTTTAAAAAGGACAGAAAAAGATTCCTCGACTGGTACGAGTGCGGTAGAATATAGCTAGCTAGCTTGCAATTGCACGTGCGGTCCTCGAGCGACACGCGCTTGGCGGCCAAAGGAAGCTCTTATGACGTTACGACCGGTCGTAGGATTTTCGTGTTTTCTCACTTTTAGTTACATCTTCCTGTAAAACGAAAATGATCTTTAGATTCACATGATAAAACTACGCTAGAATTTTTTCGCTACTTTTAATGCGCTAGCTTTAGTACTAAGGTGACAGGGAAAAGCTGACGACTTTCGTCTGCGGACAAAAGGGTGCATGTAACTGGAAGCGCGCCGCGTAGAGTGGAGCAGATTAGTGGAGGACAAAGGCAAGAGAGAGGCGACGTTATGGGGCGGAAACCAATGCTCGCGCAAAAAACCGGTGAACAGCCAAGGCAGCGTCCAACAGCGGATGCCGTTGGTAATCGTGCAAGGCGGGAGAACGAGACTGAGGCGCGGAAGCAGCGCATAGCTCGGCTGGCCGAAACGGGGCGCAACAAGCGGCAAGCCGACGCGGGTCTGCGTGTGACAGAGACTGGGGGCGAAGTGGGCGAGTTCGGCCTCGACGGGAAAAAAAATTAAAAGAAGGTGCATTGATGGATTTTTAGGGAAAACGTTAGCATGAGCCTTGGGATACGCCATACACGTCCCCCTTTGGGAAACGCTAAAATGGATCCCGTAACAAAGCTAAAAAGAACCGGCAACAAATAGAGGAAGCAAAAGAGAAAGTCAAATGAGAACACCAAAGCAGAAAAATGAAACGATCAGCTTTAGCGCTTCCCAGAGGGAGACGTGTGTAGCGTTTCCCAACGGTCAAGCTAACACGCTCCTTAAGGGTACACCGATAGAAAAATTCCTTCTTCATTCACGCATGATTATTATTATTATTTTTTAATTAAGCCGCTTTTGATAAAGTTTAAAACGAACACTGCTCATAGATAGTACGTACATTTGATCTCGTAAATACAGCAGCACCTTCGCTCTAGTGAGATGCAGTTCTAAGGAAACCTCATAGATAGCACCATCATGCCACTGTGGTTTCTCGTCGTAAGAGGTCACAGAAGCTCGTTCGTAAGTAAACGTAATTCTGCGAACGGGCCTCTAGAGAGAATGATGACGAGCTCGAACCGTTGAGCATGTCATCCTCTCTTCGGCTGGAAGACGTCACGTTTCCGGGAAACATCAGTGGGATCTGCGATGTAAAAACCGGAAAGCCATGCCCTTCCAATCCAACGAGCTACGTTCCTTTGTTCTTTAACAACCACATTGGACCGGTACTGTAATCAGTGTCACCTGAAGTCCAATTGCAGCCGACGCTACAAACCGACAAGGCCAATCTAGCAGCAGCAGAACTGCATCGTCACAGCGGTCGTTGTCTTTGTGAGTATCACCGGCTTAAAGGGGCACTGACACATCAAAATCATATTTTTTTTTATTATCCGAAACGATTGAAAACGATGCCGGGACATTACCCTCAAAATTTGAGATTTGGGAATTCAGTATTCGTGAAGTAAAAAAACAATTTCCAAATGCCGAATTCGAAGTTCCCGCGCGATCGGCGCCGGTGCCTTGACGTCAAAAATCGCGGAGACCTGAGAGTCGACTTCCTTTCACCACTCCCTGCTGTTGCCATGGCGACCCAAAGCGAGGAGGAAAGGAGCGAGCGCCCGGCGTTGCGGCGGACCGGTTTTGAGCGGTGTCGCCTGTTTTCCGTTGGAGGATACAAATCTAGGAGACGGCACCACAACGAACTCCCGATTTTTGGTATTTCAAAAAGAAGGGCCGTAGTGCGTTCGCAATTGCGTTAAAAAACATGTTTTAGGATTGCCGTAATTAAATGTTATAGAGATGTCGCCTACAAAGCTTCTAAATTTCCTGATTTTTGACGTCACCGATCAAAAGAAGCGAGGAGGCGAGACGCGGGAAAATCAAACGCCAAAAATAAAAAGGCGCGCAGTCCGGTAGGCGCGCCTGGAACGTTGCCTGAGATGTTGGACGCCGGAGTCAAGGATACGACACTGGAAGGACAGCGAAGGGCCGTTCAGAAGGCTCGGGAACTGAGCGACAGGCAGGTCCGCAACCGGGCCCCCTGCACCCTTACCCCGGGTGGGGCTTTCGGCCTCCCCTAGCCAGATGGGCTAGCTTTTGAAGACAAATAAAGACGTTTATTCCTCCTCCCTCCTCCGCGCGCGCGCGGGAAAATTTTTTTTCGCGATGCGGTTTTTTTTGCGTGTCTATGACTGCAACTTGCATCGTTTTAGACAATAAAAATAAATACGACCTTTGGGGTGTCAGTGCCCCTTTAACCAATCACAGAAAGAAAGAGAGCGGAAGATGTCGGCGCATTCACAGTGCGTGATTGTTTAGTTGGAGATAGCAAACAAAAGAACACAATGGCCGCTGTGACGACGCACATCTAGGCACTGTTGGATTGGTTGATTAAGATGGCAACGTGAGCTGCGTCGGTTTGGGCGTTGCAAGCAGTACATAACAGACGTGTGTCCAAGTAATTTGGCAGGACGAATGTCAAATCTATAGAACTGAAATAAAATATCCAGGTTTTATCGCATACCGCCTCCATCTGTTAAGTAAAAATAATGAAATTGAGCTTCGCCAAGACGCCATTTTAATGTAGATTTTTGGAAGTATCGTAGAAAGCAATCCTCCTAACTTCGGATGCATGTTCTAAGTTATACAGACTATCTCCTTTATTAAATAATGTTATTCTGCAAATAAACATTTTTATGGATGCACTCTGAGAATACACGATTCTAATTTTTTTTTCAGAACAGTTTACTTTGTTTCTTTTACTAAACAATCATTGAGCTGCTAAAATATTTTTATTTGAGCATACCACCACCCTGGAAATACTAGAAACTCATCGAAATTATGCGGACGTAGTCTAGCGTACTCTCAACTGATTGCCATAGTGTGCAATGTTGTGTCTCTTGATTCGTCAAATTTCAGTCTATTTGGAACTCTTTGAACGTGAACTGCATGTATCATCGTAGATTTCGTGTTTTTGTGGGTTTTTGCATAGCTTATCGTATTCTCCTGTGCATTCAGCGATCTTCTTCTTGACGCTTGCATCGTCTCCAGAGCCTACTGCATCTGCACTGACCCAGAGTTCACATTCTGGAATGAAGAAATGAGAATATTATAAGCTTTTTTTGGCTTTATTTCCATCGCATTAATGTTTTACGCGAGAGAGTAAGACCGATTATTATTTCCGTGGACTTCCCAGTTATTGATAGTGTCCAAGCAAAATCTTTTCAATCAAGACTCCTTAAGTTTCACAACCAGCAATAAAACAAGTAAAGTTGATGAGAAACATTTAGCCTCGAGGATAACTTTTTTCATCTGTCACATGTAAATTTTTATAAGAAAATGAACATCTGAGACAGTCACGTCCTAGCTTACACATGGCTAAAGAGTGATGTTTTATGTTCGCGTTAGAATAGTAGAAAATATTACAATATAACTAACGCTCATAGTATCACATGAGTACCAATAAGTAATAACGAAACAGCAGCAAGTTACAACATGAGAGGAATAAGTTCATCAGAATGTTTTCAATGTGTAGCAGGCATCACAGCATCCGTAGACGAACTCGAAAGGGTTAATTTTTTTTGTTTGTTTCATCAGTAAAACTGAACCGCAGGGGTTAGTCTAATTATGTACGTCAAAAACTAGGTGTTTTATTAAACGGTGAAGCTGGTTGCATGCACGAAAATAAGTATCTCGTGCACAACATAGTAAACATATTTGGGCTATTACTAGAGGTTTCTTCGCGGAGCATATAGAACTCAGAATACTTAACGTTTCAAATATTTCTCACGCACTAAATTTTATTTATATAAGAATTCAGAGTTTGGTTTGAAAACAAGTTCGGCGTCCCTAAAGCCGGGTGACACTGAGTATACATCACACAAAAGACAGTCTGCATACAGATTCGAAAGCTAGTTACCGCGAGATTCGTGCTTCGAGTGCCGCGTTGCAATGAATTCAAGCAGGAAACTTGGCACGCAGCATTCGAACCTCGGATATTGCGACGACTAGTGTTTGCAGACTGTCTTTTGTATGATGTATGAGCGCTGTGACCCAGGACTAAAAGTTGGCAAAATTAATATATAATTGCATTTTATTAAAACATTTAGAAAGTTCTATTAAAACTCTAAACTCTAATGTATACCTTAACAACAGCTTCAAAAACATGCCGTAATCAGATCGCCGATTCTCACCAGGGTGATGCAGAGGAGAGGTGTTGGATGATTGGTATTTGTACGTATACGTGTGATCCCAACTTAGAAATGCGTAAGATATACTTCGATACTTTTTGAAGTAATTGATTTTGAATAATTTTTCATATTGCCCAGAAAGTAGCGAAACGAATCTTAAACATGGGGACAGCGAAATAGATATCTAATCACGGAGCCATGGGCAAACAAAGCAATCCCAACAAAACTTTGAAATCTACGTACGTCATCACGAATAGCCAGGGTAGTGTTCACACCGATTTGTTCCAAATGATTAAGACGCTGTCTCATTGAGAAGCCAGTTGGACCACTCTACCAGTCGACACAATGAAAACGCGTTTCCGGCGACTCTGTAACTTTCCAAGACACTTCGATGAGCACACTTTCAGCTCTCAAATTATTTCGTTCTTTGACGAAGGATGCTGTCGCCAGTTCATTACGTGTGCTGCTCTCAGGTGTCATGTTTTGAGAGGTCATCGGCATTCGAACGCCCAAGGTCAAGTTCGGTTTGCTTCGAGGAGTTTGGAAACTTTTCAGTGCACTTTGCCATTATGCTTAAGTCGATTGTCGCACAAGGGAGGCTTCGCTAAAAAATCTCAAAGGCCACATCACCGATGGTATCTCTGTTACGTGTCCGTACTCCAACTGCCACGAGGTATTTGGAGTGAAATCATTACTCATGGCACATTTGAGCAGGGCGTGTTCACGAGTGACGTCTTCGCAACTGCACATCGCCTGCAGACGCGCTTTATGTTGAAGACCCTTCAATTCCATCGTGCGGATTGTAATGAAGACGGTGCTTTTGCCGTGAGAAAATCCCGTGATAATAACCACGACGTGTTTATAGGGAGTTTCCTGAAAACTGTTTTCGCATATCCGATACGGTACGTTGGGCCCTTCGTTAGGCACTGCGCATGCGCTATTACAGAAGTATAGCATATGCCCAGTTCCTACCGGAGGGCCCATCGTTCTCTAACAGATGTGCAAAAACGGTCCCCTAAAATTCTCCATAGTTTTTATATTCGGAAGCCTTGCTTCCCAAGCACCATATTTTGTTACACTATCCAGACCTCCTTCTGGAGTTTGGTCCACTGATCAATACGTGGACAACACTACATGTTTGGGGGGGGTTGCACGCGGTGCATAGAAAGTCGCGTGCGCCCCCCTTCCCCTTTTGTTCGTAATCCTGCCTTATATTTGTTATTACATAAATATGTCATATTATACTATTATATATAATATTATTATTCATTTTTATGGGGAAACGGCCTGCTTCTACTCATAGAGCAACAGAACCACACTCAAGGGATTCTACTGCATAACCCAGTACAAGCACTCAGTTACCGAGCTCACAGCTAGACCTCGAAGGGGTAGAGAACTTCGTTGCACCATGGAACGAGATGTCTGGGGCCCTGCAAGCTTCCTTGAAGTTCAGCAAGCGACGAGAACCCAAGCATCGCAGAGAGATGGTTCGCATCATGGTGCAGACAGTCACGAAGACATGCAACCGGCCCTTAAAGAAACACTTCGACGGTATGTCACGCAAGAGAGTAAGGAATCATTTATTTTTCAAAGACGCTATTAATGGACGCGTCGTGGGATCCGGGCACAAGTTTTGCAAAAAAGAGTTGTTGCCAAGGGTTGATAACAACCTTCGGCAGGAGAAGCCATGCCACTACGAAAAGGAAGATAATAAAAATACAAAGCGGATGTGTGCACACTTCCCTCCCTTACGAGGCTCAAAATGTCCTGAAAGAAAAACAAGCTGTGCTTGAGGATCTCTAACAGAAAGAAATAGAGGGAAGCCAGAGAGACAATGCATTGCGCCTCATGAAGGTCACGCACTCACTGCAAAGGAAGAATGTCTTACGACTTCACTGAGCGTTAACCTCCCACAAACAGGCACTCTCTCTATTACAGACACAAAAACATACACACAGCGAAGAAGCCATAGCTTTTTGTATTTTGTCTTTATTTTCTACGTATTTCTAAAACAAAACCAGTAAATTGTATTGTCTTCGTTTTTTTCTCCGCCTGTTAAATCAAATACGTAAAAAGTCCGCGATTATCTCCCCAATAATTATTTTTGCAGAAAAGGTGAGAGATGGGCAGCTCACGTATCCATCGTCAAGCGTGGCAATATGCTTCGCTTCAAATATTTCCCAAGTTAGTTGCTCGTTTTATCGGTCTATCACGGTGAAACCACGTAGTTGTTCCGTACACCCGCACTCCCGGTAGTGCAGACCCAGATGTCCCGAGTTGGCTCTAATGAGGTTATTGTGGTGTTCGCGAAGTTGATCGTTGAGGCACCGTCCAGTCTGGCCAATATAGCGTTTTCCACAGAAGAGAGCAATGGAGTACACGTCTGTTGTATGGTGGCGTGGCAGCTGAAGTTGATTGCCCTGCTTCAGTACCGGAAAAGAACAACCGTCTACAAGGCTACAGTAGCGTCGCCACAATAGTTCCCCCATTCAAGAATAAAAAGAAAATGCTATGTACAACATTTGAAACAAGGACACTAATATAAAACAAAATCCAGGAATCTTTGTGGTCTGAATGTCTGTCTGGCAGAACGGCTTGGTTTCATTGACACTGAATAGGGCGAACCGATGAGTGGACATCCCGGTGCCGCCGAGGTCGATGGAGATGCCGGCAACACAGTCTCCAACAATGTCGCGGGGAGGTGATTTTGGTTGCGCGACCACAGAAGGCGGAGATGCAGCTGACGATGGGGTCATTGATGGCGCTGAGAACCATAGGATGTGGCCCAGGGCATCTTGAGGAGGCGGCTTTGTGCTCGTCAGTAGGACGACAAGCTTCTCCCTGTTCAACACTTTCTCATCTTCTAGGCGATAATCGTTCTTCCCTAGGTATTTTCCCACCTTGAGAGGTGCAGAATAGCTGAGGCTACCTTTTGGAGTGTGTCTTAGTAGTTTGACCCGTACTTTAACTCCAGGTTTCTGCACACTGACTCTTGTTCCCCAGTGGCATTCGTATACTTCTTGAACTTCTGCTGGTACTTAGTCACTCGTTGTCAGTGCTCTCCCAGACTCTTTGTTGGTTCATCGAAAAAATCCTGTGAGGGCCCCCCACGATGTCCAGCCCCGTCTTTAAATTTGCGTCCTTGCAGCAGGAAAGCTGGCTTCTTGACTGTGGCTGCGTGAGGAGTGAAACTGTAGACACCTAGGTACGCCACTACCGCTTTCTTGAGGGGACGCTGCTCCTGGACACAGACTTGCACGAAGTCCTTGAACACACGGTTGAAACGTTCAATATGTTCATTACTCTGGGGATGGTACGCCGAATCGAAGCTGTGTCGCACTCCCCGTTCTGTCAAAAATGCTTCAAACACTGTGGAAATGAACTGAGGGCCATGATCACTGACAACTTGAGTAGGGTAACCTTCGCGGCTAAACACTGCACGTAAAAACGAGATGATCTTTTTTGACGTCACTAGTGCCGTCAAACACACTTCGGATCACTTGCTGAAATAATCAATTAGTGTTAGAGCGTACGGGCAGTGAAGCATTGGAAAAGGGCAGAACAATGTCTATTCACACTTTTTCCCAAGAAGCAGACAGGAGTGCAACTGAATGTAGGGGAGATACGCACGAATTTTGCAGACTTGTCACCTGCTTCACAAACACCGCAGGAAGTAACAACAGTTTCAATATGTTCGTCCATTCCAAGCAGCCAATATTTGTCACAAGCCCACTGCTTTGTTCTTGTTATTCCAGGGTCAGCTTCGTGTGCTAGTTCCACAATCTTCGTAATAAGAGAGGTAGGAACAACAACCCAAAATCCCCAGAAACAGCTGATTTCCACTCATGGAATGTTCTTTTACTTGTTGAAAGGGTGACATGTAAGGATGCAGCTTCT